CTGCCCCGTCCCGCGGCGCCGCGGAGCGCCCGGCCTCGCGCGTGACACCCGCTGGGCGAAGAGAGGGGTTTGTCAGAAAAGGCAGGTTTTGTCGCCAAAAAAAAGAAAAAAAATCGTGGCCATGTGCAGTTCCTTTTGTGGAAGAAAACAGTGGGAGGCAGAGCAGGGAGATAACTTAGGAGCGTGTCTTGCACAGAGCATGTGTGTGAGCAGCATGGCTGCTCCTAAAACCAAGCTTTCTTACTGAAAATGCAAAGTGAAGAGCAGGGTGGTGAACAGGGCTGGTCCGCGCTCTGAGGCCCCTCCAGGAAGGGTGCTGGGTCCGGCTGATGTTTGACCTTACATGGTGCATGTGGAGCTTCCCCAGCGTGCTCTGGCACAGTTGCATTTCTGCTTTTGGAAGAGTTGCAGGACAGTGTGTGCTCACTCAAAGGCAAAGGGTGTTTTTTTCCACTAACAGCAGAAATATGTTCTTTTTTGCTGCTTGCAGGTGCACAGGGCGCTATAGTTCCCTTGGTTGCATTGCTGGGCTGCACGTGGCTACCAAACTGCTGCATGTGCACATGCAAGGCCTAATCGAAGGAAATGGTGTGGTTGGGAGAGATTGGCAGGGGCAGTTTTAAGAAGCATTTTTTGCTGGATCTTGGGGTGGCTCTTCCATGTTAGTCACCCCAAAAAGGATGCAGAAGGAAGCCTGTTTCTCAACACCTGAGACTGCCATTATCTGCAGGCTTAGCAGAAAAGTTAGGTGTAAAACTGGATGTGAATAATAAACTTGTTTCTCATAAAAATGGGTATGTTGGTAGGGAGGTGAACAGGCTGTTGGAGAGGTCTTGCAGGTGGCCATTACCAATTCCAGGCATGCCTGGGGCTGGCAAAATGACACATATGTTCCTGGGCACCTTTGGAAGTAAAAGCATAAAGGTAGGAGAGAAGCGGATCCAAGGTGGTCAGAGCTGGTAGGGAGCAAAACTAGGGGATCAAAACGCAGCACCTGCACTGGGAGGGCTGCGCAAGTAGCATGTGCTTCAGGGGAAGCTTTGAGTGAGCAGGTCGTGAGGGTTGTCCTGGGCTGCGGAGCTGGGCTGCTTTACGCCCGCAGAGCCTGTGCCCACGCCACGTGGTCGCTGGTGGCCTGGCAGCGATGAGCAGATGGTCGTGCTCGTGTCGCGGGCTGCAGGAGGGCCGCGGTGGGGAGCGGGGCTGCGCGCCCGGCCACGCGCCGCAGTGCGTTCCAGGCAGGCGGTTTCTGCTGCCTCGGGTGCTCTGCTGCGGGGCCAGTCGAGGTGGGCGCGTAGGCTTAGTGCTCGTCAGGAGCAGAAAGGCCTGGGCAGAAAAATGACCGTGCTTGTGCGCTGTGTGAAATGCCATTGGCCCAGGATCTGATAGCCTATTCCTAGGGTAAAATGGGGATGATAGAAGGAGCAGGCAGCTCCTACCATGCTCCCTTAGTTTTCCAGGCTTGCTCCCAGCAGAAAGCAGTTTTCCCTGCTCTGGCCCAGCAGTATCAACCATTGCAGGGCCCAGTTTTGATGGCTCTGGTTGCCTTCCTCTGTGCAACCTCCAGCCCCACGGCAGCAAGGGCGAGGGGACCCACATGGGGGTCCCACCAGCCAGCGGAGCAGTGAGTGCATGGAATGCCACCCAGCTCTTTGGAGTCACCTCTTGAGGATGATGATGAAGTCAACCCTTCCCGTACTCCAGACCCTGTTCCCTCTGCGCTCGGGTCCCTCCCAACCTCTCACCCCCTTGTCAGTGCTCCGTTTCCTGGGGAAAGGTGCTGCTGCCCGGCTCCACGTCCTCCCGTCGCCCCAACACGGCAGTGTTTCCATGAGCCGCAGGGAAGCTCCATGTCTGGCTTTCTACCATGCGCTTGACCCAGACCTTGCAGCATGTTTGCACCAGGCCTGAGGGCAGTGAGCCCTGCTTGGGGTTCTGACCTGTTGCTCTGCTCCGCTTTAGCTTTTTCCTTTATTTTTCTGTAAAGCAGCAGGTTGTCTTTCCCTCTGTAGCGTGTCCCTCCTCGGGGTTTGGGCCAGCATCGAGCAGCTCCCGCCTTGACACAACTGGCTGCACTGCAACCCAGGCAAGCGGTGCCAGAGGCCACTGGTGCCAGTGGCCACCAGCTCCCACGTGTGCCACCCTCCGATGGGAGCTGGTTTCCATGGCTGCTGGCAGCCTGCTGGCTCCGGGGCTCCCTGCGCCACGAGCCCAGGGTGTGGGTGGTTTTCCAGCAGCTCAACAACTTTCTCCTCAGCCTCCAGTGCGGAGTCAGCACGGCTGAAGCAGCGCACGGTGTCCCGCTGGGAGCGAGCAGCGGCTCGTGCTTCGCCTTCCCTTCTCCGGTGTGGGTCTTCCCTTCTGCCTTGTCTCCAGAGGGACCGCATGGGAAGATTTACACCGCCGGATACCTGCGAGTGCACGCGTGTTTCTGCCCTGGGTTTTGGCTCCTTCCTGGCAGATGTGCTTGGCGCACGGGGAGCCTTCCCCACCTCCTGATGGAGGATGCGGAGGACGGTGCTTCCCAGCAGGATTCGTTTCGCCCCTCTGCTCAATGGCAGGGATAAGACCTCCTTAAAAGAGCTTAGTGTCGCCCATGGGGAACCAGCCCGAGATGAAAAACAAGTGGCGCTTTGGCGTGAAAGCTGCTTTTTCCTCTCCGTGTGCACATGCTGTGACCCGCTGCAGGCGCAGCTGTCCCGCCAGCGCGCTCCGGCACGGAAAAGAGCCTGCTCGGCGAATGCAGGGAGGGAGATCAGAGTGAGGTGGGAAACTCGGCTCTGTGACCCTGCTCTGCTCTGCCAAGAAGGCAGATTTCAGCAGG